GAATGTAGACTGATACTGAATGTAGACTGATCAAACTTATTGAATGTAGACTGATCAAACTTACTGAATGTAGACTGATCAAATGAATGTAGACTAGACTGATCAAACTTACTGAATGTAGACTGATAAAACTTACTGAATGTAGACTGATCAAACTTACTGAATGTAGACTGATCAAACTTACTGAATGTAGACTGATCAAACTTATTGAATGTAGACTGATCAAACTTATTGAATGTAGACTGATAAAACTTACTGAAGAGACTTTATCTGAGATCTCACCTTAAAAAAAACAACAACTACACTTCCAGTTATTGCACTAAGTTACACAACAATACTGATTGCTCCACATCAGATTTAATGTTAGGTTACGTCCCAAAAGCTGAGATTTTATACGTGTTTGTCGCTCATTAGCCATGATTAGAGAACGACGACGACGACCAGGACGACGCCGTAGTAAACGCCTTTTACTGTACTAAGTTACACAACGTTTAACTAGGAGTTACAAAGACATGCTAACGTTAGCACAAAGGTTACGCTGTCATAAACATAACAATACAATGGACATACAGGAAAGCTGCTAACAATGACAACCCGACACGACTACGTGCAACAAAAATGGTACAAGTGCAAAGATCAGCGCAGAGGTTACAACAGGCCTACGACGCAGTGGACGTGAAACACAGCAATGCAAGTTGAAAACACCATGTTAATTTAACTTAGACAGAGTTGAACTCCTTACCCCCCGTCACAACCAGCCGTAGGTGCACACAAAACAGAAAGACACAGCAACGAAAAAGGTGACTTTTCTTTAGCGACTCCATGATAAACCTGCCAAAAACACACGCAGCTCTACACTAGTTTTCTGACCGTTGGACTCAACTATCAGCAAAGTGAAATCCCTCCCACAGACACACGCGCACACGCACACGGCTCGCACATGACCAGTAAACACAGTACACCAGTGTGCGTCTTACAGGTTTTTACTTGTTAAATTGCTTGGACATAAGTAACCTAACCCCCCAAAAGCCTATCTGACCATTGTTATCTGTGATTTTAATTCCAACAATCAATCAGAATACTTTATTAATATCCCACAGGGACAGTCTAAAATAACACGACAGTCAAATTAGTAACAATATCCAAAGCCTTCAGTTAAAAGTACAAGTAAATATACTTAATAAAGGTAATAGTTAAAAACCCCTGTTCAGAATAAGTAGCAGCAAGAAAACAATGCCACACTACAATGATACAAATTATTGCACATGTACCAATTATTGCAAATGAATTAACAAAAAATATTGACAAATAAATTTGATAAATTTGACAAAACCTATATGGAGAAACCAGTTTGATTCTCTAAGGGTCTAACACTCAGAGGGAGGAGTTATATAGTTTGATGGCCACAGGTAGAAATGGTCTCCTGTGGCACGCTGTGGTGCATTGTGGTTGTTTGAGTCTGTTACTGAATGTTATGGAGTGGGTGGGAGGCGTTATCTAAGGTGGAACATATTTTGGACAGCATCCTCCTCTTTGACACTGTCCTTAGAGAGTCCAGCTCCTCCACCCAAAACATCACTGGCATTGCTGATCAGTTTGTTGAGTCTGTCGGTGTCCGTCACTCCCAGCCTGCTTCTCCAGCATGCCACAGCATACAGGAGAGCAGTGGCCACAGACACATAACACATCCTCAGCTGTGTGTTCATACAATGGGAACAAACTACAGTCCTCTGGGACCCAGTTTTGCAGAATGGGCACAGGAACCTCTAGATGGTGCTGTGTGCACAGTGTTCATCAGACAGTCAAGGTTCTGCATTTCCACTGTTTGATACAGTTCAAGTTGTTCAACTCAGAATGGGCATTTAACAAACTCACACAGGTAATGTCTGCAAACTCTATCAGCTATCATATTTGTCATTTATTTATTTATAGGTTTATTTTTGTGATGCTGTGGTTATATTGGATTGTGCTGATACAGGCTACTAGATTTAGGGGGTTAGGTTTAAGTTAGCAGCACTTTTGTCGTCCTCACAAACGCCATTGTGGTGCCCTTGAGCAAGAGCCCTCACTGTGGGCTGTGTGTGAATGTCTAACTGTGTGGACTGTGAACTGGGGGTTCCTATGAAAGTGGATCTACCCTGAACAACTAAAGATTAAAAAAAGGTTCCATCTTCTACCTTTATTTTGAAATCTCATTCCCATTATTGTGATCTGTATGACAATGTATGATACCTATAATGCTAGTGCTGCTTGAATAATAACAATCAATATAGATTTAATCCTATTAAGGACTCTAGAAATTAGAGTGTGAATGCAGGATGCTTCCTATGCGAGCAGGTTATGGAGGGAGGAAACAGTGAGCCTCAGGGCCAAAATGGTTGTTGTTCAGGAGAAAGAGGGGGTTTCAACTCCATTGCTTGTAGGCGCAGGTGGCACAAACACAGACAGCTGGAGCATGAGTTTTGCTCCTCGCCTGGAACTGATGGTTTCCCGTAGGGTGTCACAACACCCTGCATGATACCATAGAGATCCATCTGCCATGGCAAGGCATGCTCACAGATGCCTCCATCCACTTATCCTACGCCATACCTCCTGATATCCATAACTCACCTAGTCCAGGCCATGCATATTGTCAACAATACCCTGTGACAGTGCTGATTTAGTCATGCAGGTCCTCATCCTCTGGGTTGAAAGTACAGCAATCTATAAATGCTGGCAGTTTATCTCAACAATGCAACTAAAACTACAGATGGGTGACAAATCAAAAGAAAAACCTGATATGGTCTCTTTCAAGATGACAGTGTCCCCATCCATAGGACACGAGGGGTCAATGAATGCTTTGATGAGTATGAAAATGATGTGAATCATATGCTGTGGCCTTCGCAGTCACCAGATCTCAACCCAGTTGAGCAGCCATGGGAGATTTTGGACCAGTGTGATAGACAGCATCTCTACCACCATCAAAACACTAAATGAGGGGAGCTCTTTTGGAATAACAGTGTTCATCCCTCTAGTAAAGTTCAGAGGCTTTGAGAGTAAAGTCCAAGGAGCACTGAAGCTGTTCTGGTGGCCCAACGCTTTTGATTCCTTATTAACATGTTACCCATCTGTAGTTGCAGCATCATGCCCAGAGAAATACAGTGGAAGAACACATTTTGTTAAATGGCCTATATATATATATATACTATATATGTGGAGTATGTACTGTATGAGCAGGAGATGGTGACTGTCACATGAATGCATCCAGCATCAAAGCAGCCATTGTTAGCTGCTGCTTTGATGGACTTTGTTCCCTTTCTTCTTCAATTTTTGCACTTCTGAGCCTCACTTGATATAGCAGATAAGTGTTCAAGTATCTTTATTCCACTTAATGTTTTAAAATAATCATAAAGAAAACACAATGTTAAAAGGAATAGCTCCTCTTGCAATGGGCAAGATCAAGATCCACATCAAAATAAACCACTTAAACTATATTTTCATAAATTTGGTAAAACATAATATTCAAGCCATCTCAAGAACAGTAATTCATTAACACACACATATTTTCCAAAATCTGACAAGGCCAGATTCCTTATTAAACATAAATTGAGAGTGAGAGACAATGTGAGAGACAGAGCTTGGATTGCAGCCCTCTGAAGCTGCGGCCAAGCTCCAGTAATGACAAATTATGCTGTATATCCACTGTTCATCTATTTGAAAAGGCTGTACAAAAGATGTATTTACATAAATTCATCATTAAGGAATGCAGGTTCACCAACCAAAAGCCAGTACAGGTATGTTCAGCATTTTTTTGTCTTCTTGCAAATAAACATCAGACTCGAGACAAATTAAAAGGTGACAATGAAAAAAAAAATTTATTCAAAAAATGCCCAAGAATTGAACAGAAAAAAAAACATCAATCTACAATCAAGCAACAATCCTTTAATAACAAACAAAAGTCTTTGGCTTTAACAAACACTACAAAACAAAAATACAGAGGAAAGACTCCTGTAAATAAAAGTTACCACTGGCAGTTGTGTGGCACGAGTTAAAAAAACAAAACAAAACAAAAAAACTTTCATATAGCTCTATGAAAATCTCTTTCCTCAGGCTGTTTGTACAAAAATCTTCATAAATTAGGACTTTTTTCATATAACTTAATGACTGCTCAACATGATGGTTGCTTTTTCTTTGATGCACCTCTGCGACTCTTAACCCAGGTTACTATGGCACTTGGTTCAGACACCATTAGCAGCATAAACCTCACAAGACAGTATTACTTCTCAGTCTCAGGCATTACACAGAAATCTCAAGTATAGCGGCCCTTTACATTTGCTTATCTAACTAAGAGAGGAAGCGCTGCTGCATGTTTGTCTAGATGCAAGACAAAGCAACAACGTGTTTGCTTAAAGGAGCACAGATCCAGTGAACAGCACAAAGCTTTGTTAGCACTGTTGTCCTACTGATCTTAGGTCAGCCTTTGAATTCTGTTGCCATCAAAGCTGCACCTCTTTTGAAACTATGAAACCGAATGCATGGACACAAGTAGAAACATGTTGTCAGTGATTACAATAATACATTGTTAAAAAAAGAGGTCTGAAGAAAATCAGAAAGTATTCAAAACAACCTGAAAGGAAACAGCTGTATGTGGCCAGCTGAGCTTGTCATTTGGTCAGGGAGGGCGGGCTGGACCTGCTAACCCGGCCTAATGCAGAGGAGAACGAAAACTCCGAGGTAGATAATTGGTCTGAATGACCACCAGGTTGAATCAAAGGCTAACTGTGGGACACCTTGATCAAATGACCTGCTTTAATCCACCATGCTTAAAAAAAAACAGACTTTCTATGATATATCAGATTGATTTTCCTTTCTTACTATAATGTTGCATTTTCTACATTTATGAAATTCATTTGTGACACTTCCTTCATACTTGTGTGTATATGTACTGTAACTATATGGAAGCTAAATGTAAAAAAAGAAGGCACACTGTCCAAACTGCAGCCTGGTTTGCAGTATCACTTAGGCCCTGGATAAAAACACAAATGATGCTCAGTGTACTAGCTCAGGATCTTTGGAGAAGTAAACTACAACTGAAAGTGCCAAGTTCTTCTGTTACCTATCAAAGAGTGAAAGAGTGAGGTGCAATAAAAACAACGTATTTATCAAATTTCACCCCCAAAATCACTGAACCTTTGCCTTAATTCTACTACAAGGGTTTGATGTTTTTTTTGTCGCAAATGCAAAATAAAAAAAAATTACACCCCATAAAAACAACAACTAACGTCACCCAACAAGATGTAAGCATGACCAGCAAACCAAAAACATTAGTCCCATGACCGGTCACATTCCCCAGACCCACATGGTTCAATTTCAGCAGCTTAACAATATCAGGTAAAAAGGCAAGACTGAAAAGTCAGGGCCTTCTTAACAAATAAATACGACATCCATATGACTTTTTTAACTATGTATTGCTATCAGTTCTGGGCAGGAAAAAGCAAATAGATTTATTTTAAAAGGCTCTACCTAGCTGACATTTTTTGCCGCTCTCTGTTGTGGTCTGAAAATTCCTGTATCGAAACTATTAAGGCAAATTTTAATTGGATAGCAAGAGCAATCTAAAGTACTAAGAAAAATCACCTTACAAGAAAACAACACTTAAAGTAACACTCATACAGCAAGCAAAAAAACACAATTTTCAAAAAAATCTGGATTAAAAAAAACCTCAGAGAAAAAAAAGAAAATATTAACAAAAGACATATTTGCCATCCTGTGCTTTGAACAACTAGCCATATGATTCTTGTATCCAACTGCATTCCTTTGTAAAAAAATAAACATTTTCTTGCATGCAAATATGTTTATTTTCTAAAATTTTCCTTATATAATTGAATCATTTAATAAACTCAGATATTCTCTCTGAAAAATATTTTCACTTAAACATTTGCAGAACCTGTGCAAATCTGTGAAAAGATCCTTAGTGTCCTTTGCATTTGTGGACATGATTGTTTTAGCTCTTATCCAAATGTTACCTCAGCACTACTTTGGCTGTTGGTAGGAATATGAGGACTGATTGCTGGACGAGTCTCCTTGTGACTGTGTACCATTTTCCTGGAAGAGAGTGAGATAACCGTCATTCTATGCCACTGTTGTTTTCAACATCTGATGTGATTTATACACACAGGGCAACACTGATGTTTAAACATACCTCGACAGGAACAGTTGCTGTCTGCATGTGTGTATACTGTGGGATATACGCTCCTTGCACAGCTGTGTTTGCAGCCATGAACTATACAATTAAGAAAAGAGAAACAGTCTTATAGAGAAAAATCCTATAAATCTGACAGTTTAATGAAACCCTATTCTGAAATAGGCATAAAATGTGAACACATTTCTGATCCAATGCAGTATTCTCTCACCGTTCCTGCACTACCCAGAGATAGGTGACTCATCTGCTGTGTAAGGGGGGCCATCATGGTAGTAGGCTGCAGTGACATAGATGGGTCCATAGAGGGCGATAACACTGTACCCTGGAAGAAATGTGCAAGCAGCTCAGAACACAATGTACAGAATGTAGCTGGTGGAGTATCATCCCTTAAGGTTGACATACTTCCCCAAAAAACATGACTTTATAAAAATGACAGAATACCAACAACTTATGCCGAATATATACAATTTAAAAGCACAAATTTAAACAAATAATTCATACTTATCTAATTTCTACAACTCAAATTGAGTAGTCACAAGTTGAACAAGTTGCCTATAAGCATCTTGGCTGGCCTGGTGCATCTAACAGTGTTTCTCATCTACGCTGGCTCATTTTCAATGCAAGAACGGACCCATCTGTTATAAAATATTCTGCATCTGTCATCAAATAAATCACTTTATTTAAGCAATATCACTTTTACATTCCAATATAAACACTAGTACTGTAACTCCTCAAGGTTCAGTGTCACCTTATGTATAACTCCTAATCTTCCATATTGTGTGTGAATGTTTAAAAAAAATGTTTCCATTCTGTCACAACCACAGCGAGACATGTTTTCCTGAAACAGAAATAAAACAGAAAAGGCAACAGGAGCGTTGTGGGGAATACAGTGATGATGATATGATCTTGCTCTTACCGGGTGCTGCATGATGTAGGGCTGATGAGGCACCCAGGATGGGTTCTGCACCTGAAACATCACACAGACAGACTCTGTAAACACACTGGCAGTGTGCGGCTGCTATTTCCAAAGATCACACTCTACTCTCACTGGCACAGCATCAAGCATGAAAGGCTACAGGACCCTTTGTCATATTTAGTCTACAGTTCCAAAACCCCAGAGGACATGTCCGTGAATCCCGGTGACACATGGTTTATAAACATAAATGCTTAGTTAACAGTTAAATATTACTTTTTATCAAAGCTACATATTCATACATTGGAGAGAAGGCTTCAAACCTGGTATGTTGAAACTGGAGACATGTAAGGAGACATGGATGTTTGGGCAATCATCCTGTTTGAAATACTGTATGCTGGTGGGAAAAATCTGTGGACACAGATTTGAGTGTATTTTTATACAATGACAATGAAATATATTGGCCACAACAGTGCAATCTAATCTGATGTTGTAGCTTACCCATTCTGCATAGCAGCTGCACTGTGGTCGTATGCAAGTGTCATTCCAACCTCGAGAATAAGGACAGCATAGGTTTGGCAAATAAACTGGTGAATGCAACTCAAACACTTGCACCAACACAATACCACTGCACAGCAGTCTATATGCTCAAACTTGACAGAGTGTACGCTTAACTAAGACTACAATACACAGCAGAGTAATCAGGATTACAACTCAATAAAAATCAAAAGCACTTTAGAGTGACTGATATGATACTGTACATGTAATTTATTCCTTGACTCTTCAGCAACAATCAACACCAATAAAGTCACTAAAACAGTTTCTTCAAATATTTGTTACACTCTGGTTTTTACTAAACAACACATTAGGTACACCTGAAGTTCATCCTTTATTAACCCAATCTGATTATGAATTGATTCCCATCAGCCACTTCATCTCACATCATCCTGGGCACCACTTACTCGTCTGGAGTCACCGTCTCTTGGCCAACCCCGACCGTTCTGGTAAAATTTATTCTGACTTTGTCTCTTTTTCTGCCCGCCATCAGCAAACTTGCACAGCAATGGTTCAGAAGGCGCTAAAGAGAGAGTTGGTGAGAGAGTACAATAAAAGGGTTTTCTTAAGCAAACTATTAAACACAACAGCGCTGTCTGCCATTACTTGCTATACAGTCATTCACTCCCTGAAGCCTGGGAGTGCACATTTACAAGCCAGCCTGGGAACACACAGATATCTAATTTGGCAGCTGTGGAGCTGTAAACCCCTCCTCTTCCTAAAGGAGGCAAAACCAGCAGAGACTATTTCAGTCTAATAATTCAATTAAAAAGCTTAAAAAGGGAGTGGAGGCCACACAGAGCAGCTCCCTCTCGCTCTGCTTTTCTTTGTTTGTGCTCTGAGTGCAAGAGTTCTGTACCAGCAGACTCACTGACATCTGCTAGAAGCATGAATCAGTTGCCAACCACTTCAGCCCATCTATACAACTCCACCCAATTAACAATTTGCATATTAGAGTCACTATGGTACAAATCCTGTTCTTTTCTTTCCTGGCATGCACATAAACTAGATCATTTTACATTACAGCTTTGCAATGTATGCCTGCAAATAAAAGACAATAGAGTATGTCTTACCAGGAACACCTGCAGGTGTTTTAATAAACTTTCCATTGAAGTGAGAAATGACAGCGTCACATTTTTCAGTTGATTCCATCCTGAAGTTAGAAAACACAAACAGAACAAGACATCAGTGATAACTGCAGAGTAAGCAGGTGCTTTCCAAAAGCTGCTTCTTTGCTAGGTGGGTGGAAGGGGTGGCTCAGAATAGCAGATATTTATTGGTTAGGCCAATGTACAAGTTTATATTGGTTGTGGAAAAATATTGTATAGTCTTCATCATTTAGACCTCACATCTGCACAAACACTGCTCTGATACAACACGGTGTTTCTGTTGTATCATTCGTGACCTTTGCTTTGCCTGTCAGGTAAATGTCATGTTGTACAAACACAACTGGCACCATACCAGCTACCAATATAATTAAATCACCCATTCATTGTAAAAATATTTTTTAAAGGAATTTCCATTTGTCTATACAGGAACTACTCTTTCTGTCTTGTTATCAACAACATAGCTATGTGTTTTGAAATGAAATACATTCTGCGTTGAACTGCATAGAAAATTTTATGATGAGAACCCAATGTGTTTTTAATCATTTTTAAACAATGATTTTTAAATGTCAATTTATCATTGGTAATTGGTTTAGAATAGTAGTCTTAATCTCAGTCCTAGATTACTGTTAGTACTTCTGTCTCTCAATATTAAAACCACCTAATGGTGCCTAACGTTGTAAAGACAAGAATACACTGGTCTCCCTTCCCCCATCTCTGGCATTATTGCTTGAACCAGTCCCTCTTCCTGTATATTTGGGTCTATTTTGGCCATGAGCCAATCCAACAAACTTCTGATCTGATAGATCAAACCATGTAAAATGTTAGTTAGAGGCCAGAAGATGCTGTCAGTCATCTCAGTTGGATGCCATTTATTTAGTTTAGTCAGAGCAATGTGTCATATTAATGAAATAATCTAGATTGATGTTAAAAGAAAAAGTAATGGAACTTTTTGCATAAATTGGTTATGAAATGTGATCTGATCTTCATCAAAGTCACAAATATCAACAAACAATATTTCTAGGCTGATAGAACACAAACAGTCATGATCTTTCACGCTTTATTGAGCACACCCATTAAACATTCAAAGTGATGGCAGAAAAAGTAATGGTAACACCAGGCTTCTGATGTCACTAAACGTCAACTGGAGTCAGGTGTCAGCAAACCTGAAGTCCAATCAATGAAACGAGAACTGAGGTGGGGTTTAGAACTACCATCAAACAGTGTCAGTATGCTATTCATAAGCAGCATCAGCTATTGTGAGCCATGCCTCGCAAAAAGATCTCAGAAGACCTACGATCAAGAGTTGTTGATTTGCATGTAGCTGGAAAGGGTTACAGAGTCATCTCAAAGACTTTAGATATTCATCAGTCCACAGTTAGACATACTGTCTATAAATGGACACAATCTGGTACTGTGGCTACTCTCCATCGAAGTGGGTGTCCAGCCAAGACCACTCCAAAGGCATAACACAGAATACTCAGTGAGGTAAAAAAAAAAAGAGCCCTAGAGTAACAGCTGAAGACTTGAAGGATTCATTGGAATTGGTTAACATCATGTTCATGAATAACCGTATGCAAAATACTAAAACAGACATGGTATCCATGGCAGGACACCATGGAGAAAACCACTGCTCTACAAAAACAACATTGCAGCAGGCCTGAAGTTTGACAAAGACCACCTTGACACTCCACAACACTACTGGGAAAATGTCCTGTGTACAGATGAAACAAAGGTAGAATTGTCTGGGAAGAACACACAGGACTATGTATGGCGTAAAAAGAGAACAGAGTACCAACATGAAAATAGCATTCAGTGTAATACAGTGGTGAGGGTGTTGAAAATTAGAAGAAGCTTTATTTTATTGTAACAGATACAACAAAATTTTGTTTGGAGCCAAGGGCCGCTGTGTGCATACGTGCTGCCATCACGGGAAACTTGGGGGTTCAGTGTCTTGCCCGAGGACACTTCGACATGTGGACTGTAGGCACCAAGATTCGAACCTTCAACCTTCCAGCTGGGAGACAACTGCTCTACCCACTGCACCACTGTTAGTTAGCCTTATTAGTTTTTTTTTGTTCTCATGTGCTCTATGTGCTTTATGTTGCAAGAAAGAAAAAAAAAACTTATCAGTCTATTGCTGCCCAAGAATATCGCTGAGCTGAAGCAGCTCTATGAGGAAGAATGGCCCAAAGTTCCTCCTGGATATTGTGCAGATCTAATCCACAGCTACAAGAAGTGCTTGCTTGAGGTTATTGCTGCCAAAGGTGGTTCAACCAGTTAATAAAACACAGTTGCCATTATTTTTTCCACCATTACTTTGTATGTTCAATGGGTGTGTTCAATAAAGCCATGAATGATCATGACTTATTGTGTTTTATCATCTTAGAAATATTGTGTTTGTTGATATTTGTGACTTTGGTGAAGATCAGATCACATTTCATGACCAATTTATGCAGAGAACCAGAAAACTGGCAAATAGTGCCATTACTTTTTCTTGCGACTCGGTGTAGCACTATTAAGAACCTCTAAAGAGTTTCAGCTGCATGAGTCATGGACAGACAGGTGTCTGACCTGGCAAAGCCCACTCCTCTACTGGATCCATTGAAGTCTCTCAAGATGCGTGTTGATATGACCTGGCCAAAGTGCTTTAACATGTTCTCCAGCTCCTGCTCATCCATTGACAAAGGCAAGTTGGAAATGTACAAGTTTGTGGGGTCTTGTTCTTGTTGCTGTATGGTCAAAAACAAGAGAAGAAGTACATTACTTTAAATACTTAAAAAACACTGGAAAGCACACTAATTTTTCTTCATGCATCACATTAAAATTGGCTCAATAATGTAAAGAAGGAGGAAGAGAAGAGAGGATTAGACTATGAGATGCTGTAACAATAATCTGGTCAACTGCAAAGACACTGTTCTTTGTCCATTTCACTAAATGAACACTGCTCCACAATCATGCCTGGTAGGCGCTAGTGCAGCTTCTGTCTTATCTGTTGACCACTGAGTAGCTCCATTGGAGCAGCTGGAACATTAAGGCCCAATCCCATTGCTCCCCATTGCCCTATCATTTAGCCCCACGCCTTCGTTTTGCAAATTCATGTATGGTGGTAGAGGTGTCTTGATTCTCTTCTGGTGTTGGGTGAAGAAGTAGGGCTACATAGCCTTTCAAACTGAGGGTTTTCAGAGGCAGATTCAAAACTGAGTGGTATGAGACTAAGTGCAACAAATATTACCAGTCGATACTACACACCTCAAATAAATTCACCAACATTCCCTGGTGTCAAACCCATATTCCTATCCTTTGATTTTTATTTGCAGTTGAAACTGATGCTTACAGACCACACATCCTAAATCACCACAGCTGAAGACAGCATTAGTAATTTTAAATTTCTGACAAAAAGGTCACATCTGTTTAACTTAACTGTCATCATTAACTATCGATGACACACAGAGGTCTTGAAGGGTTGTCCCATTTCACAGGCGAAGACTTCAACCACTACTCCTTGTAACTCAGTTTTGAGGGTTAACTTAAAAATGAAGTAGCTTCAAAAATGAGTGGCAGGGTTTAAAAAAAAAGGAAATGGGACTGGGCCTAAGTGTCTTCCTCAAGGACACTATAATGATAAGGATAAGCATGTGCTACTTTCCCTTCCCCAAACCAAAATACATCTTGCAAAGCTGTTTCGCTATACATTTCACCCACCAAGTTTGATAAAACCATCTTAAAATAATAAAGTTTTACCTTTATTAATAATTTCTTGGATTAAGTGAATCCCCTGTATGCATATAGAGAAAGGGATGTACTTTATCAAGTAAAACAAGACCTTCACTAAAAAGCCATAAGCTAAAGACAAGGGAAACTCCTATCTGACTACTTCCTACTACCTCCCTTTGAAATAATAATGAGCGAAATGGTGCCTGGGCAGATAAAAAAAACAGATAAAGAGACCTTTGTCAAACAGTCCATTAAGCCCAAACAAGCTTCTGCCATAGAGTGGGAGTGAAAGGCTCACACTTTGTAATGGCATTTACCTTCCACAATGCAAAAATTAAACTAAGGCATTCTCCTCAAACCTGAAAAAATTTAATTTAAAAAAGTTAAATGGGTACACAGAGGCATGTCAAGAACTGCCACAGATCCCCAGACAGTGAAATGAGGCCAAGGGTTCTTGTTCAGCGCTGTATGGGTAGACTGACCGATTCTTGTTACCATAACAGCACACAATTATTTACTTTTGTTCCTGAACTGAAATGTTTTTTAATGCCTCAAAAATATTTGAAGCATGTAGCTTCACTTGCTGTATGTTCGATTTTGAGAGGTTTAAACAAAATAATTTTTCTGTTGCAGATACAATATGTACAGTATGTATTAGTGTTTTGTAGGAGACAGAAAGACTAGTCAAAGTTCCTTGACGGGCTTATTGTAAAGTCACATTCACATGGTGGATAAATTCTCTGGTACTTCATCCTGCTGTCAGCAACACCAGCCTCTCACTCTACAGTCTGACATTTGACACCATTCATGTCTGAAACCTTTTAAAGCTTGGTTGGGAGCTGTTGGATAACAAGAGCCCACTGGGAACCATCAGTGTGGAATATATGTACAACACTTGCAAAGAAACACATGGATAAACATTATAATCCATATATGAACAGATTAGGAAATTATCAAATATATTTTCGCATTAGATTTGACATAAGGTGTCAAACAGCTTGTATGGTACATGAAGGAGAAATGGAAACAAAGACGAAAAGTATGAAACACGGAAGAAACAGAGTGTGAGGTGCAACATGTGGTCTGTGGAGATGCTGTTGATATAGCAGTGTCTCACCAGAATACTGCCTTGTCAAAATTAAGAAAAATGCAGTTATCACTGACTGTATAAATATGAAGGATGCATCACCACTTTCAACTAGCCACCATTGGGTGATCGAGTCATGGTGGCTTTATTTCTGGTAGCTGTTGTTTTTTTCTGTATTTCACACAGTCGATGGCAGTTAGTGACTCCATAGTTCATTAAAGTTCAAATCCAACTGTAATGAACACAAGCCAGAACAGCCAATTTACTGCTGTTAGACAATAACCTGATTTAGCTTCCTGAATTCCTTCATGATTCAACACTGATCTCAGAGTCACTGAACAGCCCTGGGTTGCACACACCCTGCTATTAAGGATTCCAGTTGTGCTATTTAATACTACAA